GAGGGTAGGGGAAATTTATTCCCTTCTTGCCACAAGCTGACTCTGTAACATTTCCCACTGTGCCAATCACACTAGATGAAAACATGAGCACTTAATCACTGCTGTCTTCCAGATTGTCTAGTTTCTTGTCACCTCCCTTCTTCTGACTGCATTTCTTTCCAAGACAGGTTTAAAGGATTACCTGACAGTTGAGACACAGCTGCCTGGATTTTCCAGCTTCTCCAACTATGATTTGGGTGGGTACTCTCTCCAATCTGAGCTTTGGAGTTCCCACCTTTGTGGCAATAATGCTGACAACAGAAGGGACTAAGATCCATACCATTACAAAACCGGTCATGTGGCACACAGCAGCATTTCCTTTGAGAAGAAAATGTTTTCTCCTATGTCTTTCCAAAGCTTTCATTCCACTATGTTCAGTTTTTATTTTCTGGGTGTGTATAGGGCACCTGTCTTCTCAAAAGAGGTGTCCTCATATTAAGATTCAGAATCTCACACTTACTTGTTAGCCATAATCATTAGTGGCAATGGGCCAGGGCCTCCAGAGGCTGATCAAGGCTAAATAGATTCCTACCAAAACACATGAGGTGGTTAAGACTTGACATTGCCAGAGTTTATCCAGAGTTTATCAACCTTTTTTTTTTGAAGTCTTTTTCAAGATTAACACATTTAACACAACTATGGTACAGTCTAATACAAGTCAAACCACTTTGATCCCTTTCTATCTGCTTCAAGCTACAACTTATAGTAAGCTTTTATTGAAGAAAGACCAAAAACTTCCTTCAAATATCACTGACTATAAACAATCCTGATTACAGGAAGCAGGAATTCAGCTATGATACTGCAATTGCACTCCATTTTATCTAAACAATGAGCAAAACTGTTCCTAAAGACGGTGGGCTGGAGTCATTAAAGACCCAATCTGAAGCACGGGAACAGTAGCTATCTTTCCTTGACATGGCCATTGGTGAGATGTGTTCTGTTGTTCAGTGGCTCAGACCCATTCCTCTGGATATAATTGTTGCTTGTGACGTTGCTGAAATATGCGATCCCATTTTTCTCCTTTTCCCTAATCTTTTCTCTTTCTTCATCCTTGTC